CTGGGGACTCGTAACATGACTAGGGCACTTCTCAAAAATTAAATTACAAATATGCCACACATAAATATTTGCAGTAGCCATTCCACCATTCCATTCCACCTTTCCAGTCCAGTGATTGTATACAGCCCATAGTGTCCTTTACTGTTTTACAGTTGTATTGCTTCCTGTGTTAGGAGTATCTCATTATATACAAAAGATGTTAATGTGTATTGTATTGTTATTATTAGTAAAACTTACCTTAATAATGTAGCATAGTAGTTTACTGTTATAAAGTTGTAATGCTAGTTGTGTTTGGAGTATCTAATTGTATACAAAATATTGTAATGTGTATTGCGTTCTTATTATTAGTAAAATTTACCTTAAATCCTTTATTTTAACTGAAAAGTACAAATTAAATTACATAAATCTGAGCTCTGAAAGACTGTGACAATAAACATACAAGATACTCTGCACATGCTGCATACCTTCTAAAGGGCCCAGTACTTCATCATGTATCTTCATCACTGATGTCTCTTTGAACATTATCTCACTTAAACTATCACCCAGTGACTGACATGAGCTAACATCTAACAAGGTCAGGGCAACAATTAGAGTATCTTCAAGATCTTGCGAAGCTGTTGAATATTGCTGATGAGTCATGTCAGAGGACTTGTTTTCTGGCAGTTGGAAGGCTGAACTTGTAGACTATTGAAAGAAAAGATATACTAAATTATTATTACTATTATGATGCTGCAAAAGATACTACAGAAAGGTAGATGCATGTGAATTATTACATAACAGAGCTAGAGTGATGCATGTACAAGTATACACTTATGTTAACATAAAGGGACATGGACAAAAACATATCCCAGGGGCCAGGGCACTAATCTTAAATCCAATGTGACCTCATTAGATGCAGTTTTGAAATATGACTGCTGTTAGTCTAATGCACATCAAATCCCTTATTTATCATATCAAATTATAAATTCATGATTCATCACTGAACTCACAACTGTTGCTTTTTGAATGATGTCTTCAAAAACT